ACTCCTCAATTTGCATCTGAAAATAGTCGTGATTCTTGCTCTCTACATTTGTTTTCTGATTTGAATGAAGCTTAAGACCTAAGAGAATTTTTGATAGAGACTTTAGAGGAAAAGAAAGGCATTAATGGTCAGCTCCTTTGGCTTATTAGTTTTATCAGGCTTCAAAAATTGAGGGCTTTTGTAGTCAGCACAAAGAATTTTTATTTTATTACCGTGGAGTGGAGAGATCCCTGTGGCCAGGAGGGGGCAGCATGTCCCCACAGAGACGCAGACCTAGCCTCAGCAGATTCGACTTGTCCCAGTCGAGCTGGTGATTTAGGGCCTTTTCAGTGAGAAAGATAAATTCACCTTGTTATTTTGTTATTTTCACTACCATCTCCTGGTTGGTGCAGGCTGGGGTTTCTGAATGGGGAACAAAGTTTAGTGGAAAAAAGACGTTAAAATTAAAATAGTAAATGCCAGCCAGTACCAGGTAGGCTTAAAATTAGGGGAGAAAAGTATTGTGAACATAAATAAGAATAACACCATATTTACAAGAGAATCCAAATTACATATTTGATTCCAGCTGCCATTTTTGCTATAAAGCACAGGAGGAAATATAACTTACTTTATATTTCATATTCATTTTGTTGAAAACTGCTTAAAATGTCAAACAATATCTTTCTTTAGAAATATATCTTTCTTTAGAAATAGAATTTGGCCCTCCCTGGTGGCGCAACGAGTTAAAGTGCAGCACTGCAAGCCAGCCGAAGCTGCTTCAGTGCGAGTTCCATCCCTGGCCAGGGACCTGACCCATATAGCACAGCAGACCTTTCCTGTCTCTTCTGTTGCTCCCCACCACAAGCGTATTTCAGTAGATCTGCCTGTTCTGCTCCCCACTCTGTCTCTGATGAATCCTCACACCACCCCTGCACCCCAGTTCTGTATGCATAAGTAAATCTTAAAAAAAAAAATAGGATTTATTATTTTACCTTAGAAAACAAATTAACCTGCTCTCTTAATATTAGACCATTCCACCAGCAAATATGGCTTGAGTGCCAGGTATAGAGGTTAAAGAAATGACTTCTGCTCTTGTTGGCAAAACTGCAAACATTTTGGTATCTGCTTGGGACATGTTGGTCCTAACTTTGAGTGAGGTACCATAAGTAGTGATTGTGGCTGTGGGCAAGTTATCAATTTCTCTATGAGAAATACAAATGAAGGCAATGTCATCTGCCTTACTGGTAGAGGGAAAGGATGTCCTAAACTACTTCATATCCAGGTTGCCCTGTAACATTACTAACCCCACAGATGCATATATGAGATTCCACATACATGCAGAGGTGCTGGGCGGGTGGGGAAGAAAGAGCAGATGTCACCCAGATGAAAACTTTTAAAAACCACATGATTATTGCTACCTTTTACAGAAATAGCAGGAGCAGCTTAGTGAGGCTTTAGTAATGCCCAGACACGCTGCTAAACGTACACATTGATGTCGGTTTTTTGAGTTGATGGGTTTGGAGTGCAAGGTCCTTGGGTTCACTCTGGGAAAGGTTTCACCAGAGCTCCCCTTTCGACAGCATGTAGCAAGTTCCCCAGGCGAGCTCCTCCACAAGATTGGGACAGTAGTTAAAGAGCAGGAAAAGAACAGAGGAGTAGAGGACACTTGCATAGACACAAGCGGGCAGGAAGAGCTGCTCCCAACGGAAGATTTGCTGAGAGAGGCCTGCAGGGCTGCAGGTAGGCAGCCTTGAGGAGAGCAGCCTCTGCTGAGGGAGATCAGTGCGGAGAGGTCCCGGCAGGGTGCAGGTCACGGGCAGGCTGGAGGCTGCTGCCTTGCAGAGGGAGAGAGTGGGTGGGAAGAAGCACCTGCCTGTCAGAGGTGGTCAGAGGACTGCAGCCTGGTGTTAGTGCAGTCCTTCTCTTTGGGAGGAGCTCACTTCCTGTGAGCCTAGGTTTGTTGATTTTGAATAGAATCTGAAAGGGACAGGAGATCCCACAATGGGCTCAATCTCCATAACTTTACCTGTCACCTTTTGAGTCTGTGGTAGACACAGCCTACTGCAGTCTGCTACCTTCTTAGATCTTATGCTTTGTAACCTAGGCCTTGATGCCTAAGGATCTTGGTTTCTATAGCTGGATTGATGGCTGTGCTAATCCCTTCAACCCCCAACTCCCTGTTTGAGTCAATCTTGTGATGCCTCCCTACTATTCTTTCCTCAGTCAGTATTATCTAAAAGAATCCCCTAGGAGGTTGGTGTTATCAGCCCATTTTGTAGATGAGGAAATCAAAATGTAGGGTTGGGAAGCTCTGCCAGCGTCAGAAAATGTGGAGCAGAAATCAAGTCCAGAGTCCCCAGGTGTGTCAGTCTGCTTCACTGCTTCTCGGTTCTGCACTTAGAAATTGTAGGTTCACTCCTTCAGTTTTACTCCTAAGAGAACTAGCATCAATTTCATGAAAAATTGAGCTCATGAAATATTAAAACTTCAAACTTTGACTTTCCACACATATTAATGAAGGGACTCAATCGATTTCAACATGATTCCATTAAATAATTTCTCTATGAACGTGGGAATTTGCCACATGTCTTTTAAAGTTTCAGGATAACTGGTCAGAGCCATAGTTTAATCCAGTAGGACAGCTATTATTGACTAAGGGAAAAGCAAATATATTATGAGGGAAAGACAATGAACTGAATGAAGGAATTACAAAAAAGGATCCCAGAGGAATGGTCTAGGTAGGTTTCTTCAGCTTCTTGCTTGTTAGGAAATAGTGGGGTGGGGATCTGTAAAAGAGGACTTCCCTCAGAAGGCTAAGCCCCCAGGGAGCAGAACAGTGGAGGCCCAGGGCAACATGCTTCTAGAATGGCCAAAGGACCTATTTGGCAGACATGAAGGGTCTTGCTTTGTGGATTATGCAGGTCTCATTAGCCCTACCAAACACAGCTCTAAGGTCCCTTCCCAGTTGGGGGTACTAGTTGGAGCTTGATCTCTCATGAGTCATGCAGCTGCCAAGAAGGGAATTACTCTGGGTCCTGCACCCTCAGTAGAGGAGCAATTACCACGGAAAGTTCCTGGCATGAGAAAGTTCCTGGATCATACTTTACATATGATCACTCAAGCAGTTCATCAGTAATGGTTCCATTATCTTCATTTTGCAGATGAAAAAACTGAGGTTTTTTATTTTATTTATTTATTTTTTTAGGGTAGGGAGGGAATCTCAAGTAAAAGTGGCATAACTACGATTTATTTGGAACCAGGCACTGTGGTCTTAGGGTCTCTATTCTTGCCCTGCCATTAATCCATCTCTTTAAATTACTAGTGAGGAGGAAAGGGGGATTGGGGAGAGGGAGGACTAGGAGGAAGAAAACTTAGATCAGAATTTCTAGAGCCTATCAATATCTGCCAGTTAATTCAGCAGGCAGCCTCTGGAGACCTTACTATAGGGCCAGGCACTCCTGAACCACAGTCTACTCCCAGCCTTGGAAGAGGAGTGGAGTTGAACATACACAGGTTACTTCTGTACAATCTGAAAACACTTAAACAGGCAAGTCCACTGGTGCAGGGCAGAATTCCTGTGTTCCGAGCACACACTAAACTGGAAAGTTACTGAGTTCAAGTTAAGGCTCAAGCAATTCAGCCACACACCACAAGTACTGTAGATCCCATTGTTACTCCTCTTCCATAAAATTAACCTTGTTTTTATAAGACTGTTCTGTAAAGTTAAATTTAAACAAATTATTAGGTTTGGCTGGTCTCTTTTATTTGCTTTAAAGTCCGCAAAAACTCCTGGGCAAATCTTAAATAAATATTCCAGTAAAATTATTTCAACTTTTGCATAAGGTTGACCGTCTTCACCGTAGAAAAGCTGGAAAAGATAGTCCACTAAAGTCTGCAGAATGAAGACTAATCTCCAATAAGAATCATTTCATTAAATTGCTTAATGGTAATCATGGAGAAAGGACTTAGAAAGCGTTTGCTACTAAAACGAATGACAAGAAAGTACTTTGCAAGAGACCAATGAAGTTAGTCCCTAGGGAATTTCAAAGGGGCAGCGAATTCAGGAGGTCCCCTGCTCCCCGGGGTCCAAGCCGAGTTGGGAGGGCCGGCCGGGGGCGAGGGAGAGCTTCTCTGCAAGGACTGTCGCCTTAACGCTCTCTTCCGTCGGTCGCGATTGGGAAGAGCGCTCAGGACCGAAAGTCAGTGGTTTGCAAAGTCCGGCAGCATCCAGTCGGAGCCCAGAGGTTGGCTCCCCAAATCTCGGGAGGATACGCACCGGGGATCTGGGGTACCCCTGTGAGCTCACACAGCGTGGCGAATGTAAGGAGCTCAAGAAACAAAGCGAGCCGGGGCTGGGGGTGGGGGAGGAAGGGGTGGGCGCGACGCCGAGCACGCAAATTTCTCTTAGCCCAGACCCGCCTGCTAACAGTCCCCCACCAGCGCGGGAAGGGCACGCTCGTGGTGGCGCCCCGTTCCTGTCGCCTGCCCCGCGTACACACAAAGCCAGCACAGTTACCCTTCCTTTGGGGCTGGGATTTGAAAAAACCCAGGCCAAGGGAGCCCCCTGCCCCCCTTGGCCAGTGCCGTACTGAGTTGGGACTGGTCTCAGGCCGGCAGCACCGGAGGCTCAGACTTCGTTTTGGGGCGGGGAGTGGGGGTAAGATGGCAGGACGGGAAACAAAGGAAACTTGGGCTTGGCTTCTAGAGCGGCGTTTGTGTTTGGCGAGTTCACCCCCTGTCCTATATGGGAGTCGCCGGGCGCCTGCACTACCCGCTCGGAGAAACGCGAAGCTCCTTGCCAATAGCGGGCGGCGCCCCGTCGCCCACCTGCCGCGGCGGGGCGGCCCTGGGGTCTCCCGGCCAGCAGAGGCCGGGGCGGCTACAGAGCAAGGGGGCGCTGGGGAGTCGCGCGGGGGGCGGGGCAGGCTTCGAGCGGGCGCGCGCTGGGGGAGGTGGGGAGCGCTGGTGGGCGGTGTCACGTCACGGCATTGTGGCTGTCCAGTATATAAGGGCCTGCCAGCCCGCCGTGCTCCCCACTTTGCCAGCGCCTGTCCGCAGCCTTCGGTTCTGCGCGCACCCAGCACCCCGCGAGAAGCACTGCACACCGACGGAGCGGACATGGGTAGAGCAATGGTGGCCAGGCTTGGATTGGGGCTGCTGCTTCTGGCACTGCTCCTACCCACGCAGGTGAGGCCCTGGCCCCCGGGGGGGCTCGGGGGCCGCGTCCCCAGTCGGGGCGGGTGGAGCTGCTCTCAGGGTACGGCCTCAGTTTCCACCTGGGGCTGTGGACCCGAAGAAAGAATCTTGCGTAACCTGACAGGGGGCAGGATAACGTGAATTCTACTTTTCACTGCCTCGAGGGTTGTCCCAGCCCCATCCACGGCTCCGGGAACAATGTAGTTCCGTGCGTGCGTGGGGCGGGAGGACGCTGCCCCACCCTAGACTCCTCAGCCCCGCTCCAGGAGCCCTGCGCACATCTCTTGCATTTACCCTGAGGTTCGAGGAAAGAGATGGTTCCCCTCTGACCTCGCGCGGAGCCTCTGGAGACCTCAAGCTCTTAGGAGAGAAGAGGTCGTCTTTGGATACCTTGAGCGTCCCTCTTCCCTCTACATGTGTCTATGCGTCCCCAGCGCAACACAAAGAAGGTGGATGATCCCCTTGTTGGGGGTGGGGACGGGAGCTGGTTCAGAGGATCTCTAGGAAGACCCGACTACCTGGCCCTGTTAACCCAGTCCCGGGTAGTTCAGGGGCTGAAGCCTGGGCGGAGATCCCATCCTGACCCTATGCTCTCTGGGGTGCGACCTCACTTGTCCATCTCTTAGCACGGAGTCCAGTATTTGTCAGTATCTGCCAACTCTCGGCAGCCGGCGGGTGGGACGTTTTATTTGGAGTCGGGCTTTGTCCCAGTCCCCACCGCACCCTCCCCAGATCCTCCGTCCTGGGTTCTGATCTTGCTCCGGCGGCGGCGGGTACCTGGAATTGTGTTCCCTGGGGATGGGTGTGTTGCGGCTGTGAGGGAGAAAAGGACTGAGCTGGGGGGAGGCAGAAAAGGGCGCTTTTATTTCTTTAAGCTCAGCTTTGAAAAGGCAGGCGCAGCGAAGTCGGTGGCTCTCCACCCACCACCTTCAATTGGGGCTTTCGAAGGAGTGTCTCCTGGGTTTATCTCCCGGGAAGTTGGGTGCACGGGATCTTGCTCCCTAGACGCCCAGTCGCCGGCTCGCCTGGGAGCGCAGCCGTAGAGAGGAGCGATCCTAGTCTTCCAGTCCGAGGGCCGGGTAACTGTACCCTATTGTTGTCTTGAGGGCTGCGCTTGGAGCCTTTCACAATTCCCCGGTGGGGGAGGGGCGCGGCCGCAAAAACCTACTGGTCTACCCCAGCACCCCCGACCCCATATTTTAAGAGAAAGGTTTTAGTTAAGTAAGTGAATCTAGTTTGTTAGGGCAGTTTTTATTTAATGTCAACACGGTATCAGCATTAGTTTGTCAGTATTTGGTTGTAGAGGAACCTTAGTTTGGTGCACTGAACTCCATTAAATCACCCCTTGCTCCACAGCTCTTTGTATGAATAAGAACAGATTACCTTCAAGAATCTCAAACTAGCTCTTGCCCCCAAACAGAGGCGGCCTGTTCTGAGCAGTTGCCTGTGTTATTAAGGCTTTCCTTTTAGTGGAAGAGTAATTTCCTAGCAGGACAGGCTGAGTTTTGCTCACAGTAGGTTTCTGATAAATATAATGGACTTAATCAAGATTTTTTTCACAGTCTAATTTGGATAGGATTTTGTACATCTTTATAGTAAACGTTTGCTTTAGTGCCGTACGGGTTTTTTCAACAAAAGGAGCTGCTGCTGATGTAGAGCAGTTTTATCTTTGGATTAATATGTAGCCAAATGTACGCGTGGCCCAGACCTGCTTGGTGCCACATCCTCTGTCCCGCCTGTAACCAGAACTCTTGTAAACCTTCCCAGCAGGGAAAACTGAAATCTCCCATCTGCCTTTGTTCCATGACAAAGGAGAGATTATCACATGCCCACTGGACTGTGCTTTTTGTGACTTGAAAAATCAGTGTGGTGAATGGTGCCACACAGGTGCTGGAACCCCAGGCAGGGACTTAGGTTCTTGGTCACAGGGCCGAGTTTAGTGAATAGTGAGGCTGCTCCTTGAGAAAGCCTCCCCCAGATCCTCTTTTGTGTCTTTTGTGAAGCTGTTCACTTCTCTTGTTCTTGGTGAAGTTATTTTGCCTTTAGGCAAGGGCTTGTTCTAGTTCCCAATTTAAAACAAATACTGTGACCATTTTGAAAAGGTGTCTGTAATTTCAAGGGAGCGAATAAGATAAGAGTCTCCTTAAGTTAGAATGAGACCATTAAATGAGTATGGGAAAATTACCTACCGAATCTAGGGTAGGTGGTAACTCAATTCTAGTACCGTAAGTCTCAGACTTCACTGTATTGTAAAATACGAATTGTATGTGATACTTTAAAGTCTCCCCTTTCTTGGGAAAATAGAAGAAACCTTTTTGAAATGTCAGTATGTCGACCTAATCTAGCCGCCGTGTCCTTAGGAGTTATAGTTTGTTGCAGATTATTTTTGGTTTTGGTTGTTACTACTTGCAGGCATTAGGCATCTCTAGGTAGTTTTGAAACTAAAGATGATCTTGGTGGGACTAAGCATTCACAATTAAATGATGTGAATAAGAGAATAATATAAAAGCCAGTCATCTAAGAATATATTCTATTCTAACTGTACATTAGGTGCAGCAGTTGTGACGTGTGGATACTTATCAGTGGTACTTTTTATATATTTTAGATTTATTCAGAAAGCTCTACCCTAGCATCAAGTACAGAAAAACCTAGCACGACTGCCTCAACAACCACAAAACCAAGTGCTGCCAGCAGCGCCGCCACCAGCTCTGCCCCTACCAGTGCCACCTCCACTGCCACCACCGCTAGTACCACAAGTGACGGTGTCCTGAAGGCCACAGCCAGTGTCTTTGTGATCTCATTCTCCCTTCTGCATCTCTACTGTTAGAGACTCAGGCCAAGCAACAACTGTACTCTCCCATCTTTCAAACCCAGTCGAAGTGGCATCTGGACAGCCAGCGTGACAAAACACATCTTCATCAATTCTGCTAATCCCACACCTTATTAATAATTGACACAGAAAATGTTGAGAATTCCAAATTTGATTGAAAAGCATGTGAAAGGATATGGATGCCAATATTAAATCTGCTGGAGTTTCTTGTCCAAGATGAAGAAAGACAACCAAAATTTGTTAAGAGATGTTTCCCTTAGTTATGGTTTCAGGAATATGGACATATAAAAATCTTGAAAATAAGAACAGATTTTATCTTAGCTAGACATAAAGGGTGGGATGTAGAACATTTGGTTCATTAAATTAGAAAGTCATAAAACAGTTATGAAATATACAAAGTTTCCATGATTCTTCCAGATGTCACAGTAAATCTCAATGCATTGTTTCAGCAGCACTGATTTAATGACAACATACTCTAGATAAGCCTTTACATTGTTAAACTGTCACTGTTGTCTTGGGAACTGAACTCTTTCCTCTACAGCTTTGGATTTGACTTTTGAAATTGATATGTATCAGGGCAATGAGGGATTGGAATCTACCCAAATCCAGGCATAATTAGTAAATTTCGCTTATGTACTTAAATCACCTATTTCTCTTTAACAGGAATGCCAGATTCATTTAGCTAAACTGATTCCAAAGAATAGAAGTACAGTGACCTCAACTAATGTCAATGTTTTTAACAATTTAAAGAATGATCTGTTTGAAGGCAAAACTGACAAATCTTGAAATTAAAAAGGCACAAACTAATTCAGGTGTTTGGGAAGTGAAGACTGGAGGCTAACTTGCATTAAATTCAGAAAACTTTTATACGTTTTTTGTAAATACTTTTTTTAAAGCTATGAACCAGAATAGTCACATTGGAACTCTTTCTGTTATGTCAATATTTTTAGATAGTTAGAACCTGGCCCTAAAACCCAAAGTGGGCTTGATTATGAAAAGTAGATCTTTGCCACAACTGCCTCAAATGCACAGAAATCTTTTTTAAGATAAGACACTTCCTACAGTCTTTTGTTCGCATGGTCACACACTGATGCTTAGCTGTTCCAGGATCTAATATGGCCACAGTAGTCTTGATAATGAAAGTCATTTTTTTTTTCACCGATAGAAATCCACCTGGGAACATCTTTTTCCAACAAATCTCAAGCTACTGTGTGTGTGAATGAACATTCCCTTTTGTCTCATACCTGAATGCTGTACATCTATTTTGGATTGTATATTGTGTTTGTGTATTTATGCTTTGATTCATAGTAATTTCTCATGTTATGGAATTGATTTGCATTGAACACAAACTGTAAATAAAAAGAAATGACTGAAAGCAATGGGTCACTTTTTTGTTTTTCTGATGCAAGGACTGCTTTCTGCCCCATCATAGTTGTATGAATCTGTTTAAAACTATCAGAGATATGTTTCAGTATTTCCTTGCTCACCAAAATATTAAAATTAAGCAATTTTGCATTGTCAATTAGCATCTCTTCATTTTGATGAAGAAACCTGAAAGTGAACACCTTTGAACCTATATAGGATCACACTTATTTACTCAGCTATTAAATACCAGCTATATGCCAGGCTACTAATGATCAATGTTACACTTGCTAGACAAGTCCTTTCCCTCTTCCCCTTTAGTTGAGGGTGAGGGAGGGTTAGGCATATGCTGTCAAGGAGTACTGGAGGGGAACAGACAAGTTGTTGGCTGTGGGATTAGTGGTTAATGATGATCTTGGACATTGAACTGAGGTATGGAGGATCTAGAGGAAAATTCCTGGTAGAACAAACACTGCTCTAAGTCCCATTGGCACTGACTTAATATCTGTGCCTTACTGCCCACAGGATAATTTACCAAACTTAACCCATCCTTTTCATATTCCTGAATTCCTGATATTTAGATATTCCAGTATCTAACATGGCACCGTCTTGATTTAGCCCTTCTAGTATCTTCCTGGACTCCTAGCTGTTAACAGTTTTACTCAGTTCAGAAATTGCCTGAGAAGGCTGGAATTCAGGAACCAGTAGATGCTGTGGCTCCCATGTCAAATGGAAACAGAACCATCTGGATGGTCTAGGGAAATCTTAGTCAGTGGATTATAGACAGTACTTACAAACTATTTAGTAGTAACACTTAGTGTTTGGTTGCATCACTAGGTAGCACACCACATTGATGTACAAGTTCACTGTTAGGCAGTCTGGCCATCTCTGTCAACTCAGAGACATAGCCTTTGAACAATGCTCAATCTTCAATGTAGGGTCATACATCTTCCTAAGGTGATAGAAAAATCCTGAATTCAGCCAAAAGGAACTGTTCTGTAAGTGGATGCAAGCTGTTCTTAACATCCCACAATGTAAATACTGTGGTCCAAAGTTAACCATTATTAGTACATATTAGATAAGGGGATGAGAGGGGAGAAAATATTTGCTTTATATGGGTGCAAATATAAGAAATTAACAGTTATTACAGTCCTCATTTCTGGAACTACACATGTGGCTGTATCTGGCATTTGCAGCTACCTTGTTGCTTTATCCAGTCCATGTTTCCTTCCCTCAGCTAGTACCTCAGCTGATCCTGGTTCTTAGCCTGGAGAGGTAATCCAAACCTTTGCTTGAATTTGATAATAGTTTCCTACTACTATTAATCATTGAAATGGCAATAGTAAGGTAATTTTAGAGGGTTCCTGTATACCAGACACCCTCTTTCTTAACCACCATTATGTAGCAATAATCTAATTTCCCCTTGGTAGTTAGAATTAATCATTCCTGCTAGGGTGGTAGCTCCCTGTTTTGTAGCTTCAGAGGATATGAGGAACTGTTCAAGTGCAAATTTCAACTTACAGTTCAATGGACTCATTGTACTGTCCCAGGTGGGATCATGGGGCCTTGGAGCAGAACATAAGGTTTTAAGGATAGTAAAAATTTGGCTAGTGAATCACAATTGGGGTAATACAGGCATTGTGAATGATGCTACTCTCACATTCATCTCTTGATTCCTGGATGTGGAAATTCGGGATATTGAGAAACAGGAACATACTTAGAACACATTACCTCCTGGAGCTCAGTGCCCTATACCTGCAAGTTATTGCCAGCTATCTGGACTATGATTTAAAATTTTAAAACACTGATGTTCTATTAAGTCAGTTATTTTAGGACATGGTAAGACCAGTGAAGTCTACAGGTACAAGCACATTGCCACATGTCATTGCCTGAGTTCCCAATTGGAAGCGCCATGTTGTGGGCCAGTATGATGGTGCATAGGTAAGATGTCTGCTAAGTCCACATGTGGCAGGTTTACTGAAAGCATTGCATGCAGGGAAGGCAAAGCCATATGCAGAGCAAATATTTTGAGGAGATACTTGCATATAGAAAGAATAAAATGCTACCCTTTCCATGATGGAAGTGTTCCACTGTAATCAACATCCCACTTTGAAGATCACTGCAAGGAATGGTGTCAAATGAGGAACTCAGTGTTGGTTTCTGCTGCAACAGATCGGGCACTCAGCAATGGCTGTTCAATCTCCATGAGTACAAATTCAGGTTCCTGTCTCCACGCATAACCTCCACCCCTGCCAAACAAAGTAGAACCACTTCATTCATGAACCCACTGGGTGATGACTGGGATAGCTAGGAAAATAAGCCAATGGGTGGCCATAGGATGGGCCATTTTATCCATTAGGTTCTGACACTCCTCCACTGCTGTGGTCCTTTTAGCTACATCCAATGGCACACAAGTGTCTTCATTGTTGCCCATTCTGAGAGGCCTGTCCATGTAGTTCTTCCTCAGCTGTCTCTGTCATCAGTCCCCCAATCATGTTCCTTCTGAATCCATCAAGCCAAACTTGTTCACAGGCTCATCAATTGATACTGATTTATACCTATGCCATTTCTCCTTCCAAGCAAAATGAGCAACCAGGTGTGTTGCTTGTAGTTTCCCATTGGGAGTATTTTGCTTCACCACTGTTATTCAGTGTAGCTGTCCATTTTGGGGTGGTACCTGCATATTGTGTAGAACCTTCTTTAAACCAGACTCATGCTTTATCTTCAACAGGTAGACCATAGGGCACAGAATCAGGTGTAAGCTGGGAGAGAGGTGATCACTTTGCAGAATAATGGCTATTTGTGTCACTTCCTCAAGTGACTTATTGTACTTTGACCTTAGGACCTGCTGGGGTCCAGTCTCATCCATACACATCCATACCGATTTCATTTGACAGTGGAATGCTGTCATGCGCATCCAACTTTAAGACTTGGTGGGTGAGACAACACCCAGTTCATGATGGTAGCCAGTTTCCATGATTGTTTATGGTTAAGCATCTAGCTTTTGCTAACGTCCAGAAATAAGCCAAAGCCTGTTCTTCAGGAGAGTATCACAGTCTGCAGAGACTGGAGAAATATTTCTCTGAATTACTAAAACTGGCCATCACTAATTCTTGACATTCTATACATTTTTTAGAAAAACGGCCAAAAATTTGGGGTATTTTAAAAAAAGTAATATCAATATCATAGAAGAGAAAATCCATTACTTTTCAACTGTTTGAAAAGGGCTTTAAGTTAGTCCAGCAACTTATCAGCAAAATGCTTAGGGCTCTATTTTAAGTATCCACATTTAAATACTAGTCATAATTTATGGGTAAATTAAGTAATGAGTATCTGTTGTATGAGTGTGTCTCTTGAACCAAGATTAGCTTTAATTCATAACAGTTTGGAGGCCAGTAGATGTTGAGGCTTTACTCCCTAAAGTGAAGATGAAAAAAATGTATTCAACATGAAACATACTCTAATGGATTTCCCCACCCCACACTGCCACCACTGCACTTAAAATAGAACTTAAATATTTAGGTAGCTGAAAAGTATGTGTGCTTTCATTTCTCATAGACCTCATTTGGATTGGCTTGGTTATTTTTTAATTCCTTATAAAGAAAGTATCTTTTTTCTAATTTTGCTAGGATGGTACTTTTTGAAACAACAAACCCGCCATCATGGTTGCTTTTCAGTTTCTCTTAAATTACATCTCATTTCTAAAATCAAGGCATTTCTAAGAAAACTTTAGGAAGTTTCCAAGTTTATGTTTTTGTTAAGGAATATCTGGGAACCCAAAGGGTCTAAAGTAGTTTAACTGTCTTGCCTCTTAACTGGTAGATGCTAAGGTTTGTGGACACCTACCATGTCTAAAACTGAACTCATTATCTTCTTTCCACAGACCTTCTGCTTCTCTATTCAGAGCAAGTCTCGCTTCACAGACCAGAGAGCCTTCTCCCCCCATCTCCAAGCTGCCACAAAATCCTGTCACTTATAAGTCAGGTATTTTTTCCCCCTCCCCTAACCCTTTCCTTCCATATCACTCATATCATCTTTTGAAGTTCTGTTTGTCCCCAGTCTTTCCACCTTGTGGCTTTCCCATAAAATATGCATCTCACCGTTTTGATCTTTAAAAGTTTGATTGGGGGCCCTCCCTGGTGGCGCAGCGGGTTAAAGCACTGCACTGAGAATCCAAAGCCGCTTCCGCATGAGTTCAATTCCCGCCTGCCCTGGAGGTGACCACATGGCGCGGCAGACCTCTCCTGACCCGCCCGCTGCTCCCCTCAGCAGTGTACTTCGCTGATCTGCCTGTTCTGTTCCCCACTCTGTCTCTGGTGAAGCCTCTCACCGCCCCTGAGCCTCTGGCCTGTACCCCAGTTCTGTATGCACAAATAAATAAATCTTTAAAAAAAAAAAAAAATTTGATTGGCTGTCCTTTGCCTATTGAAGTAAAATAGAACCACCTTCCTCCTCCCTGAACTCACAGTCCATAAGACGTCTCACATTGTGACCCCAGTTCGACTTTTTAGTCTCATTTCTAACTACACTGGATTGCTCACCATTCTTGGAATCACAATGGTTTTTTCATATATCTACAGCTTTGAAGGCATCCACTCATCCAACTCAGTGTAGTGCTTAAAGGCTTGGATCTAACAGCAAGGCTGCCTTAGTTTATTCCCCACCCAGCTGCAACTAGCTGATGGATCTTAGGCAATCACAGAAATTTTCAGTAGCCCAACAGTCTTGTCTGGAAATATATCTGATAGTGTTATTATCTCACAAGGTTGTTGGAGAATTAAATGAGTTAACATACAAAGTATTAAGGCAGTCTGGCAACTACAAATATTTGATAAGCATTGGCTGGTATGATTATTTTTTTAAAGGTTTATTTATTTATGCACACAAGAGCTAGGATGCAGGTCGTGGGTGGGGGTGTGGGATGTGAGAGGATTCACCAGAGACAGAGTGGGGGGCAGAATAGGCAGATTGACTGAACTATACTGATGAGGAGAGTAGTGGAAGAGA